GCTGGAAGGGACCTGGAAAGCTCCCCCAGCCCAACCCCCCTGCCAGAGCAGGATCCCCCAGAGCACATCACACAGGAACGTGTCCAGAGGGGTTTGAATGTCTCCAGTGAAGGAGACTCCACACCCTCCCTGGGCAGTCTGTCCCAGGGCTCTGTCACTCTCACAGTAAAAACATTTTTTTCAGATATTCACCTTGAACCTCCTATGCTCCAATTTGCACCCATTACCCCTTGTCCTATCACTGGTCATCGCTGAGAAAAGCCTAACTCCATCCCCCTGACACTCACCCCTTACATATTTGTAAACCTTGATGAGGTCACCCCTCAGCCTCCTTTTCTCCAAGCTAAAGAGACCCAGCTCCCTCAGCCTCTCCTCAGCAGGGAGATAAGGGCATAAGGGAAGGGCAGTTACCGCTCGGCCTCGGGGCTGTCCCTGCCCCAACACCAGTGCCCTTGCTTGGCTGGTGAACCCATCAACCAGCAGAGAGGGGCTGGTGAGAAGGGAGGTGAGCACACACAGGGCTCTGGCCCTCCAGCCCCCACACAGGGAGCAGAAGTGCCCGTGCTGAGCAGCTCTTCCCACGCTGCCAGCAGCTGCAGCAGACACAGCCCCTGCAGGGCCCGGGGGAGGTGCCCGTACCTTTCACAGTGATTTCTTTGATCTTTTTGGTTTTCTCATCAATCCACTTTTCCCGCCGGATTTTCTCGGTCGCTGTCATCACCTCCTTCAGCTTCTTAATCTCCTGTTTGGAAGAAAACAGGAAAACTTCAGAGACAACCAAAGGGAGAGAACCCCTGTCAGCTTGGGAGCCCGGCTGCTGAGAAGGAAGGTGCAGAGGGCCCAGACAGCTCGCCCAGCCCTGGCCAGGCACGTCCTCCCAGTCCTGAGAGGCAGCCACACTCCTTCCCAGTGCCTTCTCCTCTCTCTCATAGGATGGGGCTGCTCCTGCCCTGAACAGGGGAAAAGAGGCAAACCTTTGGGAAGGACCTGCTGGCTGAGACACGGGAGCCCCTCCAGAGAGGAGCAGAACTGGTGCTGCCGCTGGTCCCAGCGTGCAGGCAGACACAGGGTGGTGTGTGATGCCTCCTTCTCCAGCCTCCCTCTCCCTGGCGTGGAGCACCCTCCAACAGGAGGACAGACAGACCTCCCAACACCACGGTAGCACTGCAGAGCAAGCACCCAAAACTCTTGAAAGCCTCAGAGGCTGCACAGCCCAAACACAGTCACTGCTCTTGTTTACTTCCCTGGCTCTCCTCTCCAGCTAAAGAGCTGGAAAACACCCAGGACCCACTGCCCACGGAACTCTTCCCCAGCACTCCTGTTGGCAAAAGCTGAGTGAAGCACTTGGCCACATACTTCTGTGCTGGGGTTTCTGGTGAGAAAGGCACCAGCTGATGGGAAGCCCAGCCTGGATAGAAACAGCTGTTTCTGCATGGGCAGATGATGACTGTGTGCAGGACATGGGACATGTCACAGCTCTGGAGGATGAGCATGTGGCAGGACACCAAATGGCCACTGTGTGGAGAGGAGCAGAGAATAGCACAGCCCAGGGCTTGCTCTAAAGAGAAAAAAAAAGGGCAGGAAAATCAGCACGGGAAGACAGGGAGAGGCTGAAAAAGCAGCTGAGCCCATGGTGCAGGGGCCAGGGCAAAGGGCTGACCCTGCTGCTGAGCCAAGATCCCAGCCCAGCTCTGCTGCCTGTGGAGCTGGAGCAGATCCAGGCACAAAAGCAGAAGGGCAAGGCACAAAAAAACAGCAAAGACCACATTTACCTCACAAAAGGGGCCCAAAGTGCGCCAGACCTAGGGAGAAAGAAAGGAGGGATGGAAAGAGAAAGGGAATGGCAGAGTCATGGGAGAGAGAGGCAAAACTAAACAGCCATGAGAGCCCCAGGCAGGGGGGCAGGGGTCCCACAGGAGCCAGGGGAGGCCCAGCCAAACAGACAGTGACTGGTGGTCACAGCTCCCGGCCAGGGGCAGAGCCAGCCCTGCCTCGGACTGTGCCACACAGGAGCAAGGACAACAAAGTGATCAGAGAGCAGAGAGGGGCTCCAGGGCTGTTCCCAGCATTGCTTCCAAGGAAATCAAGAGGGAAGATGCATCTCCTCTGCACCATGCAGCTGTGGCAGCAAAGCTGAAACAGCACAGCAGAGTGAGCACCTGCCTGAAGGGGCTCAGGCTGGTGCAAGGGCCTGTCTGGCTCCAGAGCCCTGGGGATGAGCTGGGCTCCAAGGGTGAGCAGGACAGCAGGGCCAGGACCAGCCCAGGGCAGAGCTGGGAGCCAGCAGTGCTGCCAGCCCTGGCTGCCTGCAGGAGATGGAAGCTGCCAGCCAGCTCCCAGGAGCAGGCAGCACAGAACCTGCAGGGCTGGTCACTGTGGCTTATACTCCCCATGTTCCTTTAAAATCTTGTCCCCATTCAACTCTGAGAACATCCCTGCTCCTGCCAAGGGGGCCGGAAGTCACCCAGCTCAGGAGGATACAGCCACAGGTACAAATTCCTCTGTTCTGTGCCAGTATCTGCCACAGCAAGATCCCCCTGTCACCCCCAGGCCAGGAGACAGCTTTGTCCCCAGCAGGGTGTGTGGGAAGGAGTCTTTGGTAGCAGAGCTGCTGGGAGCAGGTGCTGTCTCTCAGTCTTGTTCTGGGCAGCAGAGAACAGCAGCCTCTTGGGAAGCAGGGACAAAGCTCCATGGACTTTCTGTGCACATAGAAGAGGCCCCTAGAATACGTGGGAGCCAGAGAGGTGAGACAGAACATCCTGCTTTGGGCACAGGCTGGGCTTGGGTAAAACCAACTCCCGTTGTGGCACCTCTCCTCCCATCCTCCCCACCTTCCCTATCCCCTCACCAGCTCATGCTGCTCCTGCATCTGCGTGATCTTCTTGCCATACTTCTGGTCCACTTGTTTGAGCTCAGCTACCACAGCCTCACACTTCTCACTCAGCACCTTCTTATCATCGATGAGCTGGGCAGGGGGAAGGAAAGGCACCATGCAGGGCCCAGCCACCTCTGCCTTCAGCAGCCTCAGCCCACGTGGGGATAGGCCATTACCTGGTCGATGAAGGTCAGATGCCTCTGGATGGCTGCCTCATACTGCTCCCTCTGCAGCCTGAGCTGGTGGCTCAGCTCCTTCTCAGTCTGTTTGACGTGCCGGAGTGACAGTTCTCTCTGCTGAGCCTTTTGGATGCAGGGGAGAAACAGCCACAAGGTGTCAGAGAGGGAAGTTATAGCAGCACGAGTGCAGGAGATAACTACCAAACCTGGGGGGCACCCCTGGGCCAGAACAAGGAGGAACAGAGGAAAACCAACATGGGAGGGACTCCCCTCCTGCCCCACTGCCAGCAAGAACACCCAAACCCCCTCAAGACAGAGGAAGGTTTCACCCAGGTCCTGAATCAGGGCTCCTGGAAGAGCCAGGCACCTCCCAGGCAGGGGAGTTTGAGGAAGGTTTTCCAATCAGGGGGATAGCAAGGAGAAGTCAGAGAGAAACCCGCACCAGACTGGAAGGACCTTGTAGATCTTTCCCACAGTAACAGTGACAGGCACTGTGGGGTGCCCAGCAACCCCTGGCTCTCCAGCTCCCCAGCACAAGCTCCAGGCACCCCGCAGGGATTTGGTGGACATGGATGGGAAGCAGAGCCCTGATCCTGTGCTTTTGAAGCCATTGCTCCAAGAAACATCTGCTGAGGGCTCTTGGCCTTCACTCTCCAGCAAGACAGCCCTTGTGGCTCGCCCACCAGGGCAGTCTGCAGCAGGCTGATGGCTCGCTTCTTCTCCTCCACTTCCAGCTTCAGCCTCATGATGGAGCTCGTCACCTCCGTGGCAACAGCCGACGCCTGCTCCAAGTGAGCCAGCTCCTCTTCCGAGAGGAGGCCCTAAGAACAATTAGAAGGTGGTGGGAACGAGCTGGAACCAGGAAAAGGAGATGGGGGACCCTTCCCACCAGGATCTTACACCACCTCTCCAACAGAGATGGGCTCTTGCTGCACTCACCTCCCGCTGCGTGGCCGAGGCAGCCGACCTGGGCCTCTCCTGTTCTGACTTCTCCATCTCATCCAGAAAACTGATGATGCTTTGGAGCTTGGCCTCTGAGAGCAGGGCCCCATCCTCAGGGACCCCCGGGGAATGGTTCAGCTTCCCAAACTTCTCCAAGTTATCAGCAGTCAGGGAATTGGAGCTGGGCTCCTGCTGGACAGACACAGCTAGGAATGAGCCCCCAGGGGAAGGCTTGGGAGAAGAAGAGCTGGCTCTGCTCCATCACTGAATCCCAGTCCTCCCACTGCATCCCAGTAACCAGCCTTATCCTCTGTGCTCATTCCACTTCCATGTGGTTTTGCCTCTCCCTGTGGACACACCCAAGCCCCCTGTATCCAGCTCCTTCTTCAGCACTTTCACACCCTCCACCAGTCCAACAAGCCCACAAAGGAACCTGCTCCCTCAGATCCCCCACGGCCATGACCACCGCAGCCCTCTGCTCACCCCCTCTGCCCAGGCATATCTGTCCTTGAGGAGCTTTGGTGGGGGCAGCAGCTCTGGCTCTTCCTCCAGCAGCCGGAGCGTGTCCAGCAGCTCGTTGAGCGTCCCCTTGGGCTGTGCCCTGCTGGCAGCTGTCACCACTGGCTCCAGGTCCTCGCCGCCCGTCTCTCTCGAGCTCCCATCCTAGGGGCAGGGCAGTGCACCTTGCAGTAACACAGTTTGACAGATCTCCCCAGAAGTCACCAAAGGCTCAACAGCCACCACAGCAGAAGAGTTGGTGTCAGGAGCCCCAGGAGGCAAAGCCAGACCCACCTGCAGTGTGTCCTCTGCCCCAGGGTCCCGAGAGGCCACAGAGCCCAGCTCTGCCAGGCTGTTTTCTTCTGGCTCCACAGCTACCGATTGGAAATTGGCCTCTGCAGGAACCAGACTGTTCTCAGGCACTTGAAACAACCACCAGCACCTTGAAAGCAGCTCCCCAGAGTGAGAGCTGCCCCCATCCTCCTCCTCCATCCCCCTCTCATCACACACTGCTCCAAGAGCACTGGAGACCTCCTGAAGGGGCTCACCCGTGTTATTGGCTTTGGTAACACTGCTGGCTGGACTGGTGTTCCTGGCAGAGGTGGGCTTGGCAGGCTTCTTCTTTGCTACCCTTCTGCTCTCCTTCACCAGCACAAGCTCTTCTTCTGCCAAGTGCTTTGAGTCCAAAGCCTTTTGGGCCCTTTTCTGGTGCAGTTCCTGTAGGGACAGAGAAGTCATCAGCCTCCTGCCCAGCACAGGGTGTGCTTTGACACTTTCCTGCACTGCTTTTAGCACTAGTAAGGGCCTAGAGACAGCAACAGCCCCCATGCCTGCTGCTGAAGGGTTAACCAGGACAACTCTGGAGCACAGGGACTCGGAGCAGAGGGCAGGTGGTGGCCAGGGTCTTGCCAGCTCCAGATGTGAGCAAAGACTGTTCACATGCTCCTGTGCTGTGTCCTCTGCTGCTCCATAAAGGGTCCCCAAATCCCGAGGGCCGAGCGCGGAGCTGCAGCAGCCGAGGGTTGGGAAGTCACTTAAGGCACAAGCACGTGTCTGCAGGGCTGTCAGTGCTCTGCTGTCCGCCAGCTGCTCACTGCTGCATCTCCCTCAGCACCCCCCAAGAAACATTATTCCATTTGAGGCAAACGGAAATTGAGGTTTTGAGAAGTCTGTGCCAGCTGCTCATCTCTGCCCCTAGAGCACCAGCTCTTCCTGCTGCAAACAGAGCTGCCAGAACAGGATGAGGACAGTGAGGTGCTTCCATGGTGCTCAGCCCACCCCAGAGGGACCCTGCTTACCAGCAGGATCCCCCCTTCCACAGACACTCTAGGGAGCTGCAGCCACAGCCTCTCCTTTCCCCCAAAAGTAGATGGGAAGCAGCTGTCTTCCCAAGCCCCGAATAAGCTGCCAAGGCCTGGCAGGAGGAACGGCTCCCTGGCCCCTCCATCTCCACATGGAACACTCTGCATCCAAGGCTGGCTCTAACTCTGCTCTGTGCAAAGCCCACAGAGATGTCAAGGAGAGAAAAAGAGAGGAGAGGTCCTCTCACTGCCTCAGAAGAAGATACCATCAAACTGCTCTCCTGCAAGCCCTGCCCCCTCCCTACCTGGATGGCAGCACGTCGGGCCTGACGCGCCTTCTCCTCTCGGATCTTCCGGCGTTCCTCGTCCTTCCTCTCCTGCAAATCCAGGATATTCCCTTCCTCCATCCGCTGCTGCCTTTCCTTCCAGAGAGGAGGGACAAAAAGTTATGGAGAGCTCTCCTGCACCCACCACCCACAGCAAAGAAGAGGGAAAGGGGAGACCCCACCGAGGCCACCCCAAATACAGGCTTTCCGCCCCCTGGATCCTCCCCTCTGGGACAGGAAAACCCCTCAGAAAAGCTTCACTTCAGAGCAGTTTATTTTCTTCAGACACTAAATGTAAACGTTCATCATCTGTGTCTTAAGCCACCAAGGAGACAAGGCTTAAAAATAGACTCTTATGCAGGAATGATGGTGCTTTTCATTATTGGGATAAATAATTAAAGACAAAGAAACACAAATAGCTGCAGATGCCTCATCACTCTCTAATGAGCGAACTCGTTACTGACTCGCTGTGACGAGCCAGGGCTTCCCCCTTCGGCCACCAGCGTGTCCAGGACAAGAACTCCAGCACAAATTCCAGTGTTTGTGCTGCTACTGCCAAGTGTCTGCCTAGTGCCTGGAGGGAGCTGGAGAACCAGAGCTGTCCAGTGCTGAACATGGTGGGCTGAACCCTCCCTGGAACCAAACCTGGGGGCCCCCCCGTGCGACCAACATCTCTCTGGGGGGTTGGGACCCTCCCCAGCCCTCAGAAGGGCAAGGGGCTGCCAAGCCTTGTCTCTGAGAGCTCAGGTCTCGTTGGAGGGATTGGAATTCCAATGCCTGCAGAGCGAGGGGGGCTGGGAGTGTGGGAGGAGTCTGTGCCAGAAGGCAGGGACAGGACTGACCTCCCTTTTGGAAGCCAACAAGCGCCCCAGCGCCGCCGCCGCCGCCCGGCGCCGCTGCGAGTGCCGCCGGTACCAGCGCTGGATGGTGAGGGCGGCGAGGTTCACCTGCTGGATGAACCTGTGGGACAGGGAGGGTCAGTACCACCTTGTCCTGAGGGCTGCTGGCCCCCAGCACCTGTCCCCTCACACCCCAACCCAACCAGCAAACTTCCCAAACGGGCTTTTGGGGTGGGAGGAACTTGTGCCTTCGGTGGGACAGAGCTGAGATCCGGGGAGGGTAAATTGGCCAGGGAGGGTGCACCAAGAGGGACCCTTCCCAAAACTGCAGTCCCACAAACCAAACCACCCCCCTCCACCCGGCACACTCCTCCTGCCCCTCCCCAGCAGCTCCATCTCACCTCTCTGCTTCCTCCTCAGTCACCTCATTCCTTCTGGGCAGGCTGCTCCTGCTGCTGCTGTTGTTGTTGCGGGCCATGATGTTGTTGCTGGAGAAATTCTTCTGCGACTTCACCAAACTGCTGCTCTCACCCTCCTCGTTCGAGGTCGCTTTGATGACGTTGCTGAAGAAGAAGATGAAGCTGCTCAGCACCATCCTGCCCCACCCCACGCCACACCTGGTGGTGGGCAGGGTGGGCACAGCCCCCAAGCAGGCACCTCCCCACACGTACTTGAGGGAGCTGGGCGCCTGGTTGGAGCTCTTGGGCGCGGGGCCCTTCTCGGTGCAGTAGTTGTTGTGCACCATGGTGGTGACACAGTTGCCCACTGTGCCCTTGTTGCTCCTTTTTGTGGAGAGAAGACAAGGTGTTAGGACCCCCCAGATGCAAAGGGGACAGGACACACCACGGACATGGCAACGCTCAGCCCAGCCGTGACCGCCCGGAGCACTCGACACAGAGCACCTGCTCCTCTGCCCGGCTGTTTTCCCAGTGTAGCTCCTCCCAGCACCAGCTCCAGTTCCTACCTGTTGTTGGCAGTGAAGTTGGCTGCCAGGAGCACGGTGGCTTCTTTCCTCCTCATTCCCACTGGTGGCTCAGCACTGCTGGAGCCAGAGGGGCCCGGGAACGCCCGTGGCTGGTCATCCTGCCATGGAGCCAGCAGGTGTGAACTCAGGAAGGAGCCAAACCCACGTTCTCAACCACCACCCTCCCCCCTCACAACCCAGCAGACTCCTCCAGCGATCAGAGCTGACAGCCCACCTGCCCCAGGACCTTCCCATCCTCACCAAGATGTTCCACGTGGTTTTCTTTTCCTGGGAAGTTTTGCTCAGACCCACTGGCTTCTTTCTCCCCCCAGAACTGCTCTCAAAGAAGCTCAGGAAGTCTCCGCTCTGCTCTGGGCTTTAGCCCGGATCCAGGGAATGCCAAGAGGAGGAGAGAACACATGCTGGAGTTACTATCACACAGCAACAAGAAGCAACAGCAGGGCTCTCATTCCACTCTGATGGAAGCAGGAGACTCTGGAAACACTGAGAGGGCAGAGCCAAGGCACAGCGACCATGACACAGGGGAGGAAAGGGCTGGGGAACCATCCCACAGCCCCCAAATCCATGGGTGGTCCAGCTTTATACAGAGCTGTAGATCCCTGCGTGGTGTGTGGAGACAGAACATGTTCAAGGGATGGGCACAGGGCAACAAGAGAACAGGAAATTATTCAGAAGCAGCCCCAGGAGGTCACCAGAGACAGGAGGAGAACATTCACACAGCCCAGGTGCAGTCCAGAGGGTCCAGGAGGGGCTGTTGTAAGTGAACAGTCCTGTCCCTTGGAATTAAATCTAGTGTTTTTTGTGGCAGAGCCTTCCCAGCTGCAAAAATACACTGTTTCCCCAGATCACAACCAAGTGACCTCCCTGCCAGAACAAAAACCCATAACAAAACCCCAGACCTTGGCTCTCCAGGGCTGAGCTGTAACCCTGGCAGAGCTCTGTGTGCACTTCTGAGAGGCTCTGGCTCCCCCAGGGGACAGGGATGATGGCAGACAGGTCAGGGGGGGCTCCACACAGTCCCACCCCCAGGGCAGAGGGACACAGGGAGCTGCCAGACCCAGGCAGACACATGGAGCTGTACCTGCAGACACTGTTCACCCGCTGGTGAACCTGGGTGGTGCTGCTGGACCTCCGGAGGTTGTTCATGGCCCGGGACCCCACGTCCTCCTGCAGGGGAAGAGAGCTGCCTCAGCAGGGATGCTGAGAAGGGCAGGCAGGTGGAGAGGGGTGCCTGGCCTAGACAGGCTCCCCCAGTGAGTCAGGCACCCCAAAAGAGCCCCACAGCCCTCCCACCCCCTCCAACACAGCCTGACATGATGTTTCTGGTGTGACTTCCCCTGCTCCTGAGCTCCTGTGCCTGCTAAGTCAGCCGGAACACACTCATCTGCTGGTTACCTGGATGGGAAGGAGGGAGCAGGGACCTGCCAAGGCAGCAGGGATTACTCAGCAGAGACTTCCCACTATCAGATCTTAACAGAGCCCTGTCAGAATCTGGGGCTCGTTCACTCTGCTGGAAAAACACACAAAAAAGAGACTCAAAAAGCCTGGAGCTCCTGCTGACCCCGGGGGAACCGAAAGGTGCTTGGCCAGGCACAGGCAGGGTCTGAAAGCACCACAAAAGATGCCAGGGACTGGGGATTTTCCAGAAGGAAATCAGCACAGTGTGAAGGGCAAGGAAGGGCACGGGATGAATCTGAGGCTTTCCTGCTGCCCTTCTGTCTGTGATCAGGGGCTGAGAAGCGACCTGACGCGCACCTGGGGGTTGGGGATGATTCATTGGGAGGGAGGCACCTCCCGCCAGGGCAGCAGGAGGGCACAGGGAGGGGGGATCTGTCCCCCCAGGACTCACCGGAGTGTTTCTCTTGGCTTTGCCATCGGCGGTGACCGAGACGGAGCGCGCCAGGTGCTTGGTGGGGGAGGCACTGCCGGGACGCCGGGACACCGGGACCGGGAGCCCCGTCAGGCTCAGATCCAGCCCGGCAGAACCAGCGCCCTGCACGGAGCAGCTGCTGCGGCTGCTCCTCATGCTGGAGCAGGGAGAGGAGGCCCTGGGGGCACAGCAGGGGCAGGAGTGAGGGGAGCACACCCAGATAGGAAACCCGCACCCTCTGCTCCCCGCCGGCTCCTACAGATGCTGCACATGGAGCTGCAACCAATTCCAAACGGGACAAACCACCTTCCTTCGTTTCTCCACGTGCCAAATAACCCTGAGCACAAGGCCTGGAGAGGCTCCAGGTGGGCTCCTCACTGTGCCCGACACTCACAGCCTTCTCCTCACTGCTCTGACCCAGTGCCCTGGCTGAAGAGGCAACTGGGCAGCACCTGAGGGGTCCTT